TAAAATTATTGAAAATACGTTCTTTTTGTCATTTTGTAAAATTATTTCTCAAAACACTTGCTCAAAAATGCGTTTACAATGTTTTCAATTTTTCGGTCCATTCTCCATCAAGCCAGAAAACGCCCCCCTCCAAAGCCACCGTCTTCTACCTCACAAACCGACCACCACCCACCACCTAGACCACTAGATCCCAGCATCATTCGAATTCGCTGACCTCCCTCTACAACTTCCATGGATTAATTGATCGAAAATCAGTCGAAATCACCGCGCTACCACTCACTGTTTCGGCCTATAAACACCGTCCCCGGCCACTTTTCCGATCACGGACCACCACCAATCCACTCCTCTCAACAAGGCGTATCCAATACTACCATGGGTCACCTTCGATTATCTCCAGAATCAGCAGAAGCAGTTTGTGCCGAATCAATTTTTGAGGATTATTTTGGTCGGTATATGATTGGATTGTTGTTTGTGTGACAATTGAAGAGGGGATTGAGGGCTTCACAATGATATATAAATCCGGTTTCCGGAGTTTAGACTGTTGGAAAGTGGCGGTGGTGTGTGGATTGGCAAAAGAAAGGAGGAGAGTGTAGGGTTGTTTCCCGTGTTTTCCAGTTTGTGATCCGTGTTTTCCAATTTGTGAAGGAAACGCCCAAAACGACATTTCAATCGTTTTGCATTTTCTTCACAATTTTTTTTTTTTCAAAAATTCGTTTTAAAAAATGACAGAGAGAACGCGTTTTCACCTTTTTGGAAAATCGAAAACATAAAACAGTTTGAAAAGGGCAAAGAGAACGACCCCTAATTGCCTAGAAATTATTTTCCAGAGAATTGTTAATTAAGAGAGTGTTTGACACCCATTTTTTGGAGTAGAGAATTTTTGGAATGGTGATTGATGGAAGAATGTGTAGTGGAAAAGTTTTAGATTTATGTGTAATATTATTTTATTGAGAAAATGTGTGGATGAAATGAAGAAAGAGAAAAAAATGAGAATGAGAATGAGAATGAAATGCCAAACAGGGGCTAAGTGTTTTTGGTTGGTATAATTTTTCACCCAACAAATTTTTAAATTTTGTGTTCATTTGGCTTTGTTTTACATAGAAATTGTCCACTAAAGTGATAATTTTTTCCACAATTGGTTATAAAAATTTGTTTTCATTGCCAAAAAGTAAAAAAAAAGAAATTCCTAAGAAATCATTTTTTTTAATCAAAGTTTAATGTTCATTTGGCTTTGTTTTACATTTTACAATTGATTATGAAATTTGTTTCAATTGCCCCAAAAAAAAAACAGAAACCTGGAATTTCAATCAATTTGTGGAATTCAGGAGCAGGGTATCAAGTGGGGTGGGGTGGGGTGGGGTGGGGTGACAATCAAACACCAAAATATGTGAAATTTTGAATTTAATTTCCATTTTTCTAGGAAAAAGTAGCCCATCAAAAAGGCACTTAGTTCTATTTGTTTAAAATTTTAACAAACTATAAACAACTCTCAGACAAATCGATATTTACACCTCTAGCGGTATCCGCTCCGCATTATAATCATGTACTAGTCAGTTCCTCAAAACTCACAATACTAAAAAGTCTTCCAACTCCAAAATCCGTGTTATAAATACCTATTACACCAGCACGAAACGAAGCAACAGCTGGTGAATAATACATAAACGCTAAAGATCATGCTACATGTATCGAATTTTTTTATCAAATCTATTACCTACTATTCACAATGGGGATGCGAACCACATTGACGGAATTTTTAAATACACGGGCCCCGCGCATTATGTGAGAGGGAATAATCCATTATATACAAACCATTGTGTACAAATGGATTAACCCAAAGGCTAAAGCCCAAGATGTGAAACCCTCTTCAATTTTTTTTCCCCTATACCCTCAAATGTCAAAAACTATTAATGTACAACAATATTTTGTCTATTATTACAGAAAGAAGCTAAAATCTGCAAAACTCCACTAATTAACCTTGCACTGCCAATTCTTGCAAGTGTTCAAGGAATACTTGCAGGCTCACATCGTCAGTAAATATAATTTCCGAACCATCAGTATACGTTGAATTATGAGTAACCGATGGATTTAACTTGGCAAGAAGAAACCGTGCCTGGCTACTATGCTGATCACATTTGATAAGTTTCGGGACAGGAACCCTTTCAGCCACCAGTTGCTCAGCATCAAGCTCGGGAGCTTCTAGAAGTTTCCTGAAATTCTCGTGGCTCGGGTCCTTGTCATAACCAAGTTTTCTCCACTGAGCAATCTTAGAACCATAGTGAATGACAACGTAAAAGAAGGAATCAAAAAGCAAAATCACATCTGGAGATATGGAGCATACGTCCAAGAGGACTGGGACAGGGGGACCATCAAATGAATACTGGAAAAGGGTAGGCTGGACCATGATAAGAGAATTAACCACTCCCTCACGATTTAACATCAGACGGATATAAGCTGTCTCGTCTGGAGTGCTGTTGAAGACGTCAATAAATTGTGACCTCCTCAAGTAGTATATAAATTGTGGGTATAAAGAGAAGTTGGATGAAAGACGGAAGGAAGATGGATCTTCTGGCATGTAATCCCCAAATTTAGAAGCAAAACGAATTAATGTCTTGTCCAACCATCTTACAACATCATGTGCATGACTTCTCTCTGTCCTGTGGATGGCAAGTCTAGCCATAACTGAAGCTGCTACTTCCTGATCAAACCCGGCAGCAATTTCAGGAGAGTGCTTCCTGGCCCACCTTCGTGAAACGGTTGTCACCCTTTTCCGGATTCCCATGTTACCATATCGATAACGTGTTATGAACTGTATGAAAAATGCAGAACCAGAATGAATATTTTGTCCATCACCCACTTCAAAGAAGAAAGCAATGCATGTTTTGCTAGTGACTGTCCCCAGTTTCCAAATGTAAGTACCACCCTCACCAATTTCTTTGTTGCTTACTGAATTATTCATCTTCCGCATAGAATTACAGGGACCAAGGGCCCCACAAATCTTCACATCTTTTGTCGTTACTATCTCTATAGTTGCATCAAAACACATCTTTAAATTTCCACTGTCATCACGGTCAAACATTTGACGCAGGCACTTTCTAAATTGGTCCGACGCAAATGATTCCCCTAACATCATGAAACCACCTGAACTTTCAACTGGTACTTTTATTTCTGCTGCTCCAACCTGATCCAGAGAGCAGGCAAAAAGATCAAGAATGATGGATGAATCAGATAACCTTTGAGATATTTGCTTGTAGAATTCACAGGATTTTCTATAGTAAGCTGCATGAACATTATTAAGGTCTCGGTGAGTTCTGATGGCATTGCCAAGATCAGAGTTGACGATGATCCCTGGGCCGATTGTTGCAGGTCCTGATGTGAAGACCATGACACGAGAACCAGTATTCACCAAGCAACCTTCTAGAAGCCCTACAGCCACTGATATTGCAACACCTGTAGACCGTAGAGGCCGGTGTCCTCGCATGATCTGTGGTGAAGAATGGATATCTTCGATTGCAGATGTTATGTTGAACTCGCATTGTGACACTGGCAAGAGAAAGTCCTTTCTTTGAACAGCTGATGACTTTCCAAGGGATTGTGTCATGTGATGGAGCCCAAGAAGCTGCTTAGTCTGATAATAAAGTAATAATTAGAAACCAGCAAGTAGTTTAAAAATAAATGACAATCGAGCAAGTGAAATCAACATATCAAAAACAAAAACAGATATGGGATTGTCATCTTAGCCCCTGTTTGGCCACCATTAAATTCCATTACATTACATTAAAATTTTCTCTCTCTTCGTTACAACCACACATTCATCAAATAAAATAATATTACACACAAATCTAAAACTTTTCACAACTTTTTCACCACACATTCTCCCATCAATCACTATTTCAAAAATTTTCAACCATAAAAAATGCACAATAATGGGGGCCAAACAGGGGCTTAGTCTCCGTTTGCAAAATTTATAAATCAGTTATAAATTGGTCAAACTTCATTCTCAACCACACATTTCAATAGAGCCACAACTACTATTCACTTATCCACCACACATTTCTATCTATTTATAAATTCTTCCCAAACGGAGGTTTAATTAATTGTAATATCATGTAACTCCACTGATCGATAGTCAAAACAAAAATTACTGAGGAGTGTTGAGCCAGGCAAAGAGATGAAATGGACGCAAACACAACAAGATAGAATAGAAAAAGAATCCTGAAATTCTCCCCAGCTCAAAACCTACCTCGAGATTATAAGAGTACAGGTCTTAGGCTACTAAATGTTTCATCTGCCCCTACAACTAGTCATTGATAATCTCCTCCCCTAGAACACCCAGCTTAAAAGCATCAACGCATACTACTGGTGTCCTGGCCCCATCAAATTACTATAACCACATTATTTCATCAAGACCGGAATTTTTTTTTTCCCTATTTTTCTATTCCAAACAATATGACATACATATCGAATGAAATAACCTAAAAATTAGCTGATAAAAGTCATTAACTTCGACAAAATATTGCACTTAAACTAATAATTCAAAAAAAGTTCCGTAAAATTTCAGGAAGATATAAAATGAAGCTGCCCCACTTTCTTTATCATAGACAAATACCGACTCCATTACCTTCCATCACTGCCATTTCTCCACCAGTTTCCTTTCTATCAGTGAACAACCAGCTTATAGTGGCAGCAAGCTTGGAGCCCTTGAGAAAGAGAACCAAAAAGAATTGGTTTAAGCTCCATTTTTTATTGAAGGCATTGGAGTCAATAATATTCTGCTTCCATCATGAATAACCAATCTAGAACACCGAGTGAAATAATGGGTCAAGTTGAGACAAGAATGCAAAGTGGGAAGTGGGAGTGGAGAAGTGATCTACAGAAAGGAGGCGTTGAAGCACGGGGAGACTTTGTAATCAAACACAAATTTAACACGAGGCAAGTGGATTGCAGAATTGGAGGGGTCTGTATCATAGCTGGTTTGACAGTGTGTAGAAAGAGTTCAGGGTTGGCAAAAAATGAGGAAATGGTTGAGTGAATCAATGTAATTTGCACTTTCGCCAGTAAGTACTTGATGCTGATCTATATATTAAGGAGCTTGTATAAGAATGAACATAACTAACCCGTGGAGGTTCTTTCTGATTGCTGAAGTATTTTTCTTTACTTTTCATTATCCGTTGACATCCTTTATTTCTATATGAGATTAGAAGGAGACAAGAAAAAATTTCAAGACAAAGCGTTACTTATGCTATAAAGGACCTTTTGAAATTTCAATTTTTATGGCAGTTTCGTTTTACAAGCTTCAAGTTGAAAAGAGAAGTTTTATTTGCAAAGTTACACTTCATGTTTTCTTAAATGGCTGGCCACCTTGCAATCGTGTATGGCTAATCTCATAGTTCATAGAATTATTTTGATATCTTACATTGAAAACAAACCCCATCCTCTCATTTTACAATTTTATCCATATTTGTCAAATTAAAGCAATTATTTCATCATCTTTCATCACAATAGCAAGTATTTCCAATATATTAGGTCTAAAAACCAAGTAAAATCATAGATAAATGGCAGCACGACTACTAGCTTTGAAACACACAAATAAGAAAAATATATTTACCCAATGTTCAATTTACATGTGAAGAGGTTGGCTTAGTTTCCCTGTTACACAAATTAGTGAATAGCAAATAAAACAAATATAACATAATAACATTCATGTTTCTAAACCCAGTAACATAGGCAGGAAAATGAGATAATATTCAATTTGGGCAATATTCAGCAGAATATATAAGGCAACATTTTATATAGCAACTGAAACAAAGAACTTTGTTCTAATATGAAATCTAATACAAAAAATGCTTCTCAAAATTAACTAACATGTATTCTTTCCAAATATACCTGCTCCGATGAAACCTCACGCTCTCCATGAAAAAGAACAACCCTCAAACACTCGGTAAACCCCAAGTCATACACCTTCACCATAGAGTCAAAGACAACCAGACCCACCAGGGCATTCTCTGGTAATCGAGTGATGACATGCAACAATTCACTCTTCAGCAGTCCCAGCTCGTCTTCTGGTGTACAAGCGTCCACAACAAACACAATCGCTGGCCCCACCACTAACCCAGGCCCTGCCCAATCCGAACCCGAACTTGAACCCAAATATGCTGACATTGATGTAAATGAACTACTATTAGACCTCATACCCAATGCCTTATTCATGCTTGGTGCCGAGCCCAGACCAGAACTCAAACCCGAGCCTTGTTCCGAACCCCTTTTATTCAAATGATACTCCACAGTGCAGTAGGTAGGAAAAAGCTCAGCAGGAATATTATTTTCGTTAATATGAATATACGATACTGGGAACCGATTCTTCTCATAGCAAAACGGACAGACCCAGATTTTCGCAGTGTAATCAACCCGGGAATACGGATTCAAAACTGCGTGGCATTGAGAACAAGTCAAAGGATCGTAAGGCAGAATCGGAAGCTCATTAAATGGCGTTAAGGGGGTGCACATGATGGATAGTGGGATGACTAGAGACGCAACTTCGGGCTTGGTAGCCGGCCAGGAGTGCCATGACCATCTGAGGCCCTCCATCGCTTCCAATTCATTAAAATCCATTGACAGCCCAGTTGAGGAAATCAGATGAAATTGATGAAATGACGGTACAATTTCATCACGATTTGAAAAAAAAAAAAAAAATCAGTAAAG